TTAATTATAGGCATTGATATACGATATCCGAAATATATTTCAATACAATCATAAAAATCATTTCGAACATGATTTTCTTGATATTTATTTTTGCACGGATTCTGAAATAGAATATTCAATACAGGCATTACAACAATAAATATTCCGTGATTTTTTCCTCCCAATCTTGCATTATCATATTGGTCTTTCGCTGGCTTTCGTCCTCTCCTTTTTTAAATTTGCAAGATTTCAATATAGAATTATTAATTAATTATGATTATATATTAATAACTATGAAGCATTCTTGAGAAAAATCAAATCTATACAAGGCTCTCTTGATCTATATATTATAGGAATTTTAAAAATATTTAGAATATATTATATTTAATATTATCCGGATGAAATAAAATATATCGGGAATATTTTTGATACATATATTTAATCAAAAAAATAAATATATTTTATGTCAAAATATTGAAATTTACATAATATATTTATTAAAAACATATATATAATGACATTGAGAAATATCTAGAAATACATTATATATAGAATATTTAAATCGATTATTTATTATATATATATACGTATTTAATATATATTTATGGAATTACTATTTTTTAATATAATATATTTTTAATAATATTCAATATTGTGGAATTTTAATCGATAATTTTAAAATATGTTATCCGATAAATAACGATAGAAAATATTTTATTTCTAAAATATATAATATAATTAAGCATTATTTTAAATTTGTAAAATAAATTATCTATATATAATTTTATAAAATTTATTATTTTATAATTTTCATTATAAATATAAAATTATTACAATTTTCCGAATTAATTTATCTATATTTAAATTGTCTATTTATTAAAATCAATATAGACCATTATCAATGTCCGGATCTTCTTAAATAACCGATAATAATCATGATGCGAATTTATATCCTATATAGTATGAATTAGATTAATTTTAAATTATATTTATTAATTATAATCTTTTTTTAAATATAATTAGTTACTAATCTTTCGATTAATAAAAATCATTCAATTACTAATCTTAGCTATTAATCATTCGATATATTAATTTTCGATTTATCCGTCCCATATCCGTAAGTACTAAATAAAATTCACGAAGACCCCGCAACAACAATTGAGCCGTGTTTTTTTAAATGTAAAATGCTTATATATTGCTACGCTGGAGATTTCACATAATCAGAATTTGTGGGAAGGTTGGCTTCGCGAGGCTTCGTGCAACCCCAGAGGCTTCGCGAAATACTTTCGCGGTTCCGATGGTTCCTTTTCTTAAGCCCTTCATTCATTTGGAAATTGCAGACGTTGAAGATGAACTCGAAATTAAAGAATCAGAAGATGAAGATATGCATAGGATCTTTGTCTGACGTTTCTTCTTGGCAGTAATTTTGCGCAACCTCATGGCTGCAAAGGACAACAAATCATCAATCTTTGAATGTGCAGAAATGTAGCAACACATGGTGGTTAATCAAAATTCCTTCTTACTAGAAGGCCATTCTTCGCGAAAGAAGAATTAATATTCGCGAATCTTTCGCGAATTCCATATTTAACTTGCGCGGGGAATATATCCTCTAGAATTGTCTTGGTTTAACGATTTTATATAACAACCTAAGCATTTGCATCAAATACCATTTTGGAATTGTAGACGAGGTTAAAGTGTTACAAGGCAATTGGCAAAAATTCTCAATCACCACCATTAGATGTATCACCAGATTTGGTGGAGGATAAACTAGAAGAGCTATCAACGATTGTTGCGTTCATCTGGCTAGGTCTGTCGCTAATTAGCTTGGGTAGGGGTCCGAAAAACAAACCTTCTCATTCGTCGATGCTTTCGTGGAACTTTCGCCAAAATATATCGCACAACATAATAATCAATGGCAACAACAGGAAGAGGAATACGACGCAATAGAAATGGTAAATAGCAATAGCAAGAATAGTAATAATTGTTATTGTTATATTTCACGCAATATTATTATAAATCATTAATAATAATATCGTCTTTTTATATATACAATATATAATATAATAAATTCTTTCGCCAAAAAAATCGCGAACTCGAAAAAAACTTTCGTAAACAACTTAAAAAAACTCTCAATAGCACAAACCTTTCGACCGAATATTATAGTTAACCATCATATTGACGAACGACCTTCGTTAATATCACCAAATTGTAGACCAATACCTTACCATAATAATTCTCCTATTCAAAATCATATTTTTTTTTTCAAATTAATCTATTAGTCATTTATCTATATATATTTCCGATAATTAATAATATACAATTTATAATCAATTTATTTTATACGAATATATTATTTTAGGATAATACATAAAGATTATATATATCATTTATGCCTCAAAAATCACCTTTTCAATAATTTTAAGAAAATCCCATACCAAAGCCTAACGTCGCAAAAATTCAAAATAATATTCCCCATAAATTTATTTATAAAATTAATTCAATAAAAAAATGCCAAACACGATTTTTTCGTCCCAATTTATAATAATTCCAAAATAAATCTCCTTTTTAAATAAATATAACAATCCTATTTAATATAAAAACATATATATCAACAAATTATCCATCTACATAAAATAAAAAACCTAAAAAACTTAAATATCCCTACGCAACCAACCTCAATTTATCAATTATATCATATCAAAATATATATAATATAATCTATATTCATTACCTTTCGAACCACCTTTTTCTTTCATTCTTTCCTATTAAATATATTTATGTCCTATTCAAATTCATCAATTAAATAATAAATCCTCACCATCTCTATATTCATTTCGTTCGCCCATCAACAATTCCAACCTAGCCTATCAACTAACTTTCGTAAAGATTTAAGTAAAGACAAAAATGACATAAATATAAACCGAAATCCAATTTCAACTTTAATACTTCACATAGCAATATAATTACTAATTTATAAAAATGAAAATAAATATTGTTATTTCTATTTTCATTGCTATTTCAAAGTTGTCACTACGCTCACTCGGACCCTTCAGCAGGAACTTTTCTGCACGCTGCTTTGTCAACATGCAGCTAGAGTGGCCACAGCCTACCTTCTATTCGCCCCCGAGTTCGTTTTTCTCGGGAGCTCTATAGTGACTACCATGGCCTCTTCTAGACTTCCCCCCACTTTAGCCTTAGATGAGGCCTGCGCCACCCCATCTCTCACATTCGATTCATTCGATCGCTTAGAACACAGTGGAGGGAACTCGCAACCACGAACGACGCCCCGCCCTGCCTCGATCACCAAAGGTCCTGCCAGCGCGTCTGACCTTTCTTGGCCTTCTTCTCCAGCTTCAGCTCGCTCTGGCTGTCCAGCTTCGCTCGCGCTGAACACGTCGACCAAAGCCTTAGGGCCTGCCAACATCATCGCCAGGCATGAAGGACATCAACTTCACCTGTGTCCCCAGTTCTCCTTCACACAGTGCGCGGCAATCTTCTGACACCTCAGGTTGCGCTCGTAGGACTCATCTGCTGACGGCCTCCAACAACCTATCATCTTGCGCACGTCCTCAGGGATCCGTGCAGCCTGTGCCCAGGTCCTGATGGTCGCACGCTCGCTGCGCTCCGTCCACAACAAACCAACACCTGGTGCCAACAGCTGTTGCCATTGCCCCTCACTATTCGTCAGCAGCTCTCCAAAGAGTGCCTGAGACAAGGCTGATGCAATGGGGTAGTCTACGACCTTTCTTGCAAAGCCGGACATGTTCTCGTTCGGCCAAGGCAACATGAAGTCCCTTGTCAGAATGCCGGCCTCGGCCCCCATTGCATTCCAAAGCTTCCAGCCCTCGCTCAACCAGTTCTCCTTCTTCAGCCATGCAGGCTTGCTCACATAGAAGGGGAGCAATACAATCCTCTTGTTGATCGCGTCCATCGACCTATTGGGCGTCCCCTTGGTGTCATCGAAGCGCATTCCCGACCATAGCTTCACCAAGCGAAACCATGCATAGATCTTGGCATAGTTGCTCTTGCCCGTCGTAGTCACTCCAAGGCCACGATCACGGCCGCCGGGATCAACAAAGCCTGTCTCGATGGCTTGGTCTCCATCGATTGCAGCCTCCAAGGCGTTCTTCACAGCAGCTGTCCTGCACATCTGGTTCACCTCAGGGACTTCGCCCGCATGCTCCAAAAACATGAGAGTCTTGTAGATGGACTCGGGGAAAGTCCTCGAGTACGGCTCGTGCGCCATGGCTTCGAGGAACTCAGCGAAATGCGGCGGCTTCTCGGGCCAAGCCACATTATAGGTGCATCTGAACCATCTTGCCGCCTTTTGCCAGGCCTTGACGTGCTTCCTCAGAGTGTTCGGCCTCCTGCCATGAGCGCGTCATCATCCGAGCGCACTGCCACCGGCAACTTGGCGGCCTTGACGATGGTCCTCAACTCCGCAACCCACCGATCTCGCTCTTTGCGTTTGGCCAACTCTCGCAAGGCCAGGTCCGTCCCGGCAATGTGAAGCTTCTTCCCAAGGCAAGTCGGCCACCTGGCACGCTTTGCAGTGCCCACCATTTCCACTCTGGCCACTGTATCGGCCTAAACAACCTCGTCGAAGGTCTTACGACGGGTCTCTCTTTGATGTGCCACATGGGCGTCCATCAACTCTTGTGCACCCCGCTTCGCATCCCAGAGATGCCGGTTTTCAGCACGTGCTCCGGCTCTCCTCACTAAATCATCCAGCACATCCATGTCGATGTCGAAGGAGTCATCTAGCTCCTGGGCCTTCCAGACCAAGGCCTCAAGTGTCTCGCGGGGTGCATCCTGCAAGGTCGCCAATCGGGTCACCGACCACCTTGCCTCCACCAATGCTCTGGTCTGCTGCTCGCTAAGGCCACTCAGGCTGCAGACCAGAGCCATGTCTTCATCCATGGCGGCGCCAGCTGGATCCCTCCTCTAGCAAGAAGGATTTCGAGCCGCCACTCTACGATCGCTACATGACAAACCACGATTTTCAATCGGTTGTTCAAAAACATCTTTCTATTACGTTCCAACACTTTCAATAAACCTTAACACCTTAACCATTATTTAGATCATAGTCGCTTCAAAACCTAATTACTTCCCATATTATATTAATATGTTTTTCTGCTCGCAAGAATGATGATGATCGGCCTGTATATCAAAGCCGCAAATAATTACAATATTGGTTTCGGTTCTTGAACATTGCATTTTCCTGATGAACAATGACAGCAATATCAAAGCGCCTCCATCGGGCAGAAGTTGCATGGTATATTGCGTTGGATTGGATCTCCACATTGCTTCAGCAGCATGCCTGCAAGTAGATGGATTGGTGTGTGTGTGTGTCGTATTGCCAACCCATGTTGCAAGTATATGTTGGTCTGTAAATGCCAAGCTTCTCAGACAGCTCCAGCGTGCTGCATGGCACAACAAATTACAAATTGTTGCAGCCATGTAGCAAATGGTGTTAAATACCCTGTGGCACTCCGGTGCCTGGGTCCGATTGGAAAGAAGGCTTATGAATGGAAATTGACTGTCTCTTCTGTGGAGGAAAACAGTGCACATGACAACAACATGTCAAGTTCAGAAATGAACAAAACATATCTTGTTCACATGATGATTGCACTGCCAGTTCCCACCTCTCCAACAATGCATGGGATTGGAACGGTCACACCACCTTGCTTGCCACTATTTGCAGGAATAGGATCTCCTTGGATCGCTTTGCGCGACCACAGCCACAACCAGCAAACAGGAATCGCATAGACTGGAGTGCTTCAGGAGGTTGCTTTAATCTAAGACACTTCAACGATTTGTCGGGAAGATTTCTTGGCATTTGATGATCATGATGATCAGTCAACGATTCCTTTGACTTGGACTTTTCCAAGTGGCTATCAGGAATCACATTCACCGTAAGGTCCTCCAGGGTCACAAACAGTCCCAGGAACTGCACACATACAATTGGATAATTACTCGATTATTTGACAATCATCGCAGGCTTTGAAAAGCAGGCCTGCAGCTCTAGGGGTTCCAGGCCCAAAAGGCCCGCAGTTTCCACTACCCCTGGAGCTGATAATGTGACTGCAGGCAGCTGAAGTTCAGAAGCAACCTTGGCCGAAGGCGGCACGGTTGATATTGTTCTTTATCGGCTGAGTGAAACATGTTGGGACCAGGGCACATCAGCCTGCGCGCACCCACTCAACTGCAAGCAAGCTGAGGTACACGAAATTGACTCAACCCTTGTGTATGCGGTCAACTGGACTGTTTCTGCCATGGAGCCAAATGTGCTAGGCCGCCTCCAAGCGAATGTCCACTTACCTGCATCAGCCAAGTGTTCTTGTGCAATGGATTCCCTTGAAAACTTACCATCTGAAACAGCAACAATACCCAAACCATCTTTTGTAACAACATGCCCATGATCTTTATGATCATACAACCGCTTGAGAGTCTCAAAACGCTTGTAGTAAAACTACGCAACATCTGGAAGCTATGTTCAGTAATTCATAACATGTCATCGTGCATCTGTGTGCCTGGCATTTCCAAAGTGATCCCAACAGTGAGTGCAATATGGCTATATGATATATGTGTTTTTTCAGTAAAAGGAACATTCTTCAAGAGTGTTGGCTAACATGCATCTGCAGCAATGAGCAAAAGAGCGCCAACCATCCACCCGTTCTTTTCATTCTTTTGTTTCTCTCTCTGTCTCTTGCTAAGAGGCATAGATCTTTCGATGTGGCTCTTCCTCTTTCAGAAGCTTCAAGTAGTCCAGCACAGATTGATATCTTCGACGCTTTGATCGAAACCACAGCTTGCCTGGCAACATGGAGTGCCACCCATACACCAGACTAGAAATTTTTGTTGTGAAATCATGCACCGCTGCCGGAACTACGTCTTTGTGATAGTTGCAAACAAATTTGCTCTGGCCAAAGCATTGGAGATCACTTCCTGGAAATCATGCTGTTTGATGGCCAAACAAATAGACTTTATGCCCACTTGCACGCCGCCTAAAGCCGGCGAGTTCCAGAAGGCATTGTATGGAAATCCAAGTCCAATGATGAAACGCCCAGCCAAATGCTGGATGCCCAGAATCTGCAAGGACCACAAATCCAAATCAAAAATCATCTCCAGCTTCGTCTTTGTGCCTAGTGGGACAGCTCCAAGCATCCAGTCAGTCACCTGTGACATGATCCTCACTACAACTTGTCCTTGAAACAAAGTATCAATCTCCGCCTTGCCTTTTCAAACTGCGACCAAGCAGTTTACGTGCAAACCATAACATTAGCGTTGCATGACTTGAAATCGCTTGCCTCGAATCGCCAAGACTGTGGTGTTCTCCAAACCAGAGCCATTTTTGCCAGCCAAGGCGAACCATGTGGCCCAATCCTTACTCCGCAGTCACGGGCATCTGGGAAGGATGTGGGACAAGATCCCACCTTTAATCCTCCTGACAAAGGCATTTTTGAACCCAAGGAATCGAGATGCAATTGCGCACAATTACAAAATTAGGACAAGGGAGCCTGCTTGCGAACGGTGTCCTTAAATGTGATTACGCCAGTAAGCTGTAACGCTTTTTGGTTTTGGACGCCTTGCGTTCTACGCCACCACAACGATATGGCAATCGGTGCGGATCGGTGAATACACTCAGAGTATCGGTGTATTGGTGCGAACATGTTTATATCCGCCGACCCCTGCTTAGCCCTTGCCTAAGCGGGGCGGCGCCAGGGACACCGGAGGGTGGAACGGGTTGCAGTGCAAACGAAAGCCCCAGCATGCCACGTTAAGCAGCCACCCCCGCCTTCAAAGCCCTACTGCGTCGGCATCACTCCTGCACTGGCCAAACAAAGGCCGCAGCTTGGCTCAGAAAGCTTTTTCTCTGGGCTTCCGAAGGCGACGTTAGACACCCACGGGCCCCGCCCTCAAAC